GAGGAGGAGCAGGCTGAAGAGGAAAGCGAAGAGGAAGATGAAAGCGATGATGAGCAGGAATCGCATGTGACAAGAGCAAAGTCAAAGGGTACCCCAAAAGCAAAGGCCAAGGGAAAGGCAGCAGCTAAGGCCAAGGGTGGGCGCAAGAAGCACGAGGAGGAGGAGCAGGCTGAAAAGGAAAGCGAGGAGGAAGATGAAAGCGAAGAGTGTGATGAGCTGCAAGACCATGATGATGAGCAGGCCACACCAAAGATGCGTAGCGCTTCGTCCCATGCGAAAGCATGCCCCAAGCCCAGCCCAGCAGTAAAGGCCAAGGCCAAAGCCAAGGTTGCCCCCTCTATGAAGCGAAAGAACGCACGCGCGTCTCTGCCAGATTGCGAAGATGATGATCTAGATGATTTGCCGCCAATGCCAAAGCGGTCCAGGCGTTGCGCCGAGCCATCTTCCCCCGCGGATGATGAAGATTCCCAGGATATTGATGGTGAACCTCTTCATGATGATGATGCTGAATATGTTGAGGATGAGGTTGTTGCTGAGGATGCAGACGCGATGGCGGCAGAAGTTGTGGATGAGCTAGAGAGCGTTTCCGATGTGATCGATCGCGTGCGTGAACCCCCTAAGACGAACACTGCCCCTTCAGGCCCCTTGGCACTTTGCCTTCCTGCTGCCACTGACCCAGCCCTGGATGAGACACAGGTGGAAAATGATTCCCAAGTGTACCTAGTCATTGCAGTTAGAAAATAGTGGATTGGTCAGGTTTAGGGTTTAGGGTTTAGGGGCTCTGGATCCTGAAGGGGTACGAGTCAACACCGCAGATTTCATTTCGAAATTCATCCCATTATCATCTCAGGTCCTGCCTTACTTTCAAAGAAGGACAAGCCCAGCTATCAGAGTTTGCAGCTGCCTCTGGGCAGAAGAAGTCGATCCAGCACTCAGATTCGTTGACGGATCTGTCGGATCTCCTGGAGTCGTGGCTTGGGTCAATCATTAAGGGCTTGTACTTGGCTGCGCCTAGTCTCATGGCAATATTAGCTTGTTTCTGACATCATGTATCTCAGGCTTGGCCCATCTGCCAGCCAACTTGGACTCTCGCAGGAGGTAAATCATCTTCTGAATCGTGTGAAAGCCATGGTTACGCGAAAGGAGGGTGAAGAAGCAGTGCCTAAGAAAGCCCTCTCCCCGTGCGCGCTCACCTTGCACGCAAAAGCTGAGCCAGCTATGCCTGCAGCCCCAAGCATTCCCGACGCTGCCCCACTTTCCTTAAAGACTGTGGCCGAAGACCCTGCTGAGACGCGCCTGCCAGCTCCTCCAAAGGCAATTGCGACCCCGGCCCGAAGTGCTGCTCCAGCACCTGAGGCAAACGCTGAAAGGCCCCCATCCCCCAGCACCAACAATGGCTCTTCGCTCATTCCTGGTAGGTCTGAGGAAGCTAGTCCAAGTAGCACAATCAACACGTCAACCCACAAGAAGGAGTACATGAAGATGGTAGCTCAGATTGTTGTGTGCTAAAGCCAGAATTTGTTGCTTTCGGAACCTTGCCCCAAGCCTCCGTGCGTGCATGCAATCTCAGGTTAGGCAATGGGAGGCTGGCCGGTTTGTCCACTGCCCCAACATTTCCCAGATGATGGATGGAACTCTGGAGGTGCCTGATCTGCCTGGCTAGCCATGTACTGCTTGACTTGTATGTAGGTCCTGGATTTTGTTCCTTGCTAGGGAACTGACTGTTATGTAACCAATATCTACTTGAAGAATACTTGCCAGCTCCACATGACATATCAGGACCGCAAGAAGATGCTGAGACAATGGGTCACGGAAAAGGGCAACGTTGATGCCATTGAAGCCCGCCTTGAAATCCAGCGAGTCGACTCCCTGCGCGGTGAGCGGGTGTGGGAGCAGGTGGCCATAAAGGACATGTCCAAACCGCCATACAACTTTAGCAAGCATCTTGATTGCTATTTATTGTCTAGCCCTAACCCTGTGGTAATGGCACTTCACTCATGTTGTCCTTGTGAAGTGGGTTGCCATCTAAGGCGAAAGGTCGAGGCCATTATCAGTCGGGGTGATGGGGAGGAAGACCCCGACTGCCCTGGCGTTTTGGAGGAAACAAAATTTTGGGTAGTGGTCAAAAGGTCCAAAACAGAGACCACGGAGCAATCGTGACCTGGTTCCATTCATCCTGTTCTCTCACAAGTTTCAATTTAGATTCTATGACATCAAGAATTAAGCTAAGGATGAAAGCAACGATGGGTGCTCGTGTTCGACCTGGAACTGCTATGCTTGATGGCATTACTTCCGCCTCCAATGATGCCATTCCAGGGCTTCTTCGAAGGGCCAGGTCTTCAAATTCCATTGCCAGGCCCTTGTCGGGCGATGTGCTGAGGGCCTTTGATACCTACAACAATGACCTGGCTGCTGTGGCCGAAGGCGATCAATTTGCTTCCCAGTTGAGAGTATCTGCTGTAATTCTTTACGGTGATCATTTCTCTAATGCATCTTACCTGCCCGCAGTTGCTCCGCCTGCCGGTTCTGCACGTCGCCGGGCTCCTTCCACACGTGGGCCTGCCAAAAGCACAGCCAGCTCTGTGGTGAGCAAGAAGAGTCTCATCCAGGAGAGTTTCAGGACTGAGGAGGAGAAGCACAAGAAGTTCAGCCTCTAGACTCATGTTTTGTGGGAACCTTGTAACCTGCCTACTACTGGCTGTAGACCTCAAGTCCGAGGTGATGCTGTCAAGAAGGAGATCTCGAACCTCACCTCAATCCTCATGGACCTGAACTCGGACAATGAGAGGAGCCAGGACCTGTTTGAAATGATGAAAGCCCATGATGAGCGCTTGCGGGTGTTGGCGATTAAGCTTCTGGGCAGACACTTTTGGTGTTGCAATCTGGCGTCAACCATAATAAATGAAATACTGATTAGTGTGCTTAAATCGTGGGCTACTTTCTCTTGCGCATATTCCAGGCGTAGTCATTGTGGCTTTGAAGCTCTGCTACTATGTATTGTTGTGGGGACTTCTTGTTCTGTGTGGCAGCCTGTGGCAGGCCGGCTAAAAGAATCAAATCATTTAATGCAAAGCCCAAGGAAAACTAAACAACGTGGCCCTCACCCCAAAGTAGTCCTGCCCCTCTGCGCCCCAGGTTGCAAAAGATTAAGTCGGGCGCAGCTTTGGACAAGCTTTGTGTCAAGATCAGCGATGAGGCCTTGAAGCAGCATCATGTTTTCCCAAACGCCCGTGCCCCCGAACCCTTGAACCCCTGAAGTTGCATTCTTAATCCGCATTTCCGTATCTGCGCCTGCCAGATCGAGAATCTGAAGTTGACGCGTGGCCAAGCCAAGGGTCTCCTGACAGAGTTGCGCAAGCGCGCGGCTGAGTGAGCAGAGGTTGAATGGTAAGAGCCCAGGATTTTTTCCAAATGCGAGGAAGCACTTTACATGACATAGGCGAATTGCATTCTGGGCATCATTCACGGCTGCTCCTGGGGTCAGCCATTGAGGGTGAACTTGATTGGGGAAAATAAATGGCGTATCTAAACTTCAGGACATGGTCTTAATAGCGGGCAATCCTGCAATGGCTTCATGAGCTTTACAAACCTGCTGCGGACGTATTGCAGTGGGCGGGGTTCTGCGCGGGCCCCAGGCCCCTAGGATCAGTCGTCTGGCTACATGACATCCATTACTTACTCTGGGGGTAGTAGCTGGTGACTGACATTGGGCTTGGGCGTTTCCATGCACTTTCAATCTAGACTTTTGCTGCGTTATCTTCACCCAAGCGATTTTGATTCGATGCTGTGGAAAACAACTTTGCCCCACACATGTGCAGCCCCATGCGCGATTGCTCCTGAATTCAGAATCTCCCCACCCCCTCCCTGCGCAGGCGATCCTTCGACGCTGGATGAAAGCCTTGATCAGCTGCTGCTTGGAAGATAGCCTGGGTGGCATGTTTTGGGCTGTGGGCTCAGTGTTTAAGATTTAGGGTTTAGGGGCTTAGGGATGCTATGTAAGGCTTATTATGAGGCTTACGCGCATCGCTCTACTCGTAGCTGAGGCTTGTGAGGGCGACTGCGGATGGCGATACAAGTATATCTCTTGCCTGCGAGATTGGCAACTTGCTTGTTTTTTTTTTGCTTTTCAGATTCAGCTGGCTTGTCTTCATGTTTAGTCGCCTGCAAAGGTTTCAGGAATGATATTTAGGGTTCTAGGAACAGCCTGGTAAGGTGAAACCTATGGTTCAGGGCTGCTCTCTGGCTTTTCCTCCCGACCACTGCGTGAAGATGAGTTTCATGGTCGTGTTCGAAAGGCTGGATTGGCACTACAAACAGAGGTGACATTTGTGGCCACGCCTGTTATCCAAGGGGATGAGGAGGAACCAAGCATTGAACAATGTCCTGTCGTATTGCCGTCGTCAATGGTCCTTGGATATTTGTCTAGAAACTCTTCCGTTATGTGGAATTACATACCTCAACCTCTAGCGCTGTAGCTTCAGGTAATATACTTTAGGTTGAAACCCCCAAACCTGTGCTCAGGCTTCTGCGTTGATCACAGAAGGCTTCCTTGAGACGATGTATCCATCACCTGCGGCGTTGGAGACATATTGGGCTAGGCTGCTACCTGACTTCGAGGATCACTGGCTACGCCGCTGTCCCGAGCGATGGTCTACTAGCATACCCATAGTGATTTGGGGTGACGAGGGGACTCTGAACAACTCGTCCTGGATGGTTGTGTCATGGCAGCATTTTTGCAAAAAGCAACATTGTATTTTCTGCCAAGACCCACATTCTCCTTTCAGGGTTTGGGGGGCTCTTCCATTGGCCCAGGACTCCGGACCTCAGCATGTTTCGGGAAGATGCCAAATGCAGCAGGTACATGATCTACTCATTGTTGGCCAGTCGTTATTACATCCGGGACCACATCAATGAAAGTTTGAACCAGCTCAACATTGCCGTGGTAAATGACCTGAACAACCTCATGTCCTCTGGAATTGCCGCAAGCAGTGGGGTGCCTTTATGCTGAATAAGGGAGCGTGCTTTTTGTAAGTTTCTCTACTGAAGCTATTGACCAACTTGAGGCCCTTTGAGTTCGCTTCTTTATTGTGTTGGTGTTCTTCTGGGTTTGGGGTTGCTGGCTTGAATTTTTGTCTAACCTATCAGCCCAAGCAGAACACACTCCACATTTACCAACCTAGG